TAACATAAGCTCAAATATCTAAAAATAGAGTTTTATCAATCTACAGGTCAACTAGTGAAAATGAGCTTAAGAAAATAACTCTCAAAATGATTGAGGATCATATCTGTTTATCATTTTAAGTTATTTATGTAAGCACAATTTATTTCATATTCTAATAACAGTCAGTTTTTAAATTCTTAAAAAATCTTTTGACAGAGTTAATAGCTATGTTACCTCATCTGTTAATGGGTTTGTTTATGCTGCCTCATGCTAATAGTTTCAAGAGATAGTTATCGGCTTGCTTGCTTCCCTATAAAAATTAAAGTGCTATTATTTTAGTGTCTATCTAGTCTTTGTTTAAATTAAGTATTTAAAATGAATTCTTTTTTTTAAATCTCTTTGTTTCTACTAAAACTCCTTACAAGTTCAAAAGCAATGATTTTGGGTGTTTCCAACCTCTAATATGTTATACATGTGGGTTCTTTTCTAGATATCCAGTGGTTACATCAATATATGACAGTTTGAGGCACAAATATGATCTAATAACAATTTTTAAATACTGGTGATCCATTGGCATAATTTTATAATATAAAAGTTATGTAGGGCTAAGGATTTAGCTCAGTGGTTCTGGCACCTGCCACGCAAGCACCAAGTCCCAAGTTCGATCCCCAGCACCAAAAAAAAAAACAACAACAAAAGTTACGTTTCTGTTATAAATTGATCATACATGTTAACAGTATAACCTTTGAATAAAATGTTTCTAGAGACAGTTTGTTGTAAAAATGTTTTAAAAAAATTGTAATACACAAAAACAGAGTCAAAATCTGTTTAGAAGAATAAAGCTTATGATAGAGATCTGTTCTTAATAAAATTGAAAGCAAAACTATTTTAAAAGGCTACAGATTTGTCAAAATAATTTTTATGTTTTTCTGATGTATTGTTAAAATTAAATGTTGAAACAAATAAATCTTTAAAAGTTCATTTTCCTTAAATATTATGCAGGGCAGATCCTGATTTGTCTGCAAGTCAGTTTACAATAACTGCTTATTTTCTGTTTATACAGGAGGAACATGAAACTAAAATTTAGCTGCCTACTTTTATTCAGCTACCTCACAAATAAGCTCAAATGATAGTTAAACACTAACTCCAAACTTTGGAGAGTTGAGATAATAGATATTATTTGTTATCTTTATTAGATTTAACTATTTAGCCTAAAACTGTTAACTTTGTCTCTGAAATATTCTTAGAACTTTCCCTCTAAGTTTGCTAGACTGGGTTCCAGAAGAACTCCTCATGTGAAAGTTAAGTGCGAGAACTATATTCTATTGTATCACACAAATTATTGCTAGTTGCATACACCAAAGATATTCAGTTTGCTAAATAAATAGCACTGAAGAAAATCCTGACCCAAGTGGCACTACATGTCCAAATGTTTCTAACCAAAGAAACTTGTACAACAGTATTTTTTTTTGGTACTGGGGATCAAACTTGGGACCTTGTGCTGCCGAGGCAGGCACCAGAACCACTGAGCTAAATCCCTGGCGCAACAACAGTATTTATAGATAGCTGACATTAAACTGTACATTTTACAGACCAAACACATAGTCTAAGAGTTTATAAAATAAGTTAATGCATTATCAACTCTAAAAATTTCATGTACAAGATAAATTCCCCTTTAAGTACTTGTAACAGTATTTCAGGTGGAAGCAGTCATACATACAAAAACAATCTAGCGTTTTCTACCTTAAGAATTAAGGCACTTATTTTATTCATTTTGTATAGTACACATCTACGAATTGCTATCAAATATAACATATCTCTGAAATCAGCAGTCTGATTTGCCTTGCCTTTGTTAAAATTTTGTGTATAATATAATATGATAAATGGTACTGTCATTTTCTATTTGACTCACCAATAGCAATCAAGCATGCTAAACCATCTGGCTTCGAATGACCATAAGCATATTTGCTTGTCCATATTTCTTCTTTCCTTGGAATTTCTTCTTCTCCCTTCTGTGGAAAGAGTCAGAAAAAAATGATGGGAAATGTGCAATGTTCCTACAGATTTAGCTCTGAAGGCATATTTAATAGCCAGTTCATCTTGGTTATAATTTCTACATTAAAAAGAATTGTCTTGAAAAAACATAGCAGAAATAACTAGTGAAAAGAAACTTGAGTTATCCAGGCTTGATGTGCAATACTGACGTTTTAGTGATTTTAATTTATTTATGTAATTATATTAAAACATCTAATTTCAATAAGCTGGTATTTCAGAGCAGGTCTGCTATGCTGGTTGAACATCCTTTCCAGTTCTAAATTTCAGGAGATGTTCAAATTCTTAATGTTAAACTTAGTTAATTTTGGTTGCTATGGATAGGAATGAAATTAAATCTTCATCATACATAAAATAATCCAGCATCTCAGCTGTTAAGTATATAATTTAAAGAAATTTCAGTGCACTGAGAAAAATCTTAGTTCATTCATGAATGATGGAAAATGCTGATTTGTGGGATTTAAAGTATTTCCTTTAAAAAAATACTGAGAATACATAACCTCTGTACAAAGAAAAATATAAAAATTCTGTATGACCATGTTTGATTTTGCTACATAATTTAGAATCAAAAGTCACAAGTTGAAAGTTTTTCTACTTTACACATTCCCCTGACATCATTGACTTGTGAGCTAACATTAATATTTAGTTGGGTTGCATTTATAGAACAAGATTTTATTTTCAAAATGGCATAAATTTTTCTTTAGTGTAAGGACTCTATTTTTAGCAGCCATTATATCTCTAAATGTTAACAATTTTTGAGCAAATGTTTTAATTACTGTATAATTTTTCTACTTTGTACTCCCCATTTGTAATATTTGCAAAAGGATAATGTCTACAAAAAAATTCTTTCGCTCTCCCAACCCCACATCTTAATCAAAGGTGTTTCCTCCTCTCTCATCTCTGACCTAATTGAGGAAGTGTGGGAATTCCAGACAGGGTATGTACACACTTTAGATGGGATACTTGACTTTGAGTATAAAGACAAGAAAAAGATGAGATCATTCTTAATTCAGGTATGTTCCAGTGCCTCAAAAGTTATTTTACAAACTGTACTTACAATCTAAAAAAGATGAGACATTCAAAGGTGTTCTAACAATCTTGGGCCTGTAACAGCTGAACAGCAAGAAAGCCATTTAACTCCAATGTGACAGTCATCACTGACTGGCATTGAAAGTTAGATACCAATCGTGTAGTTACTGATAAACAAGAAGTTTAAACCAAGAGTGGTGGCACACACCTGTAATCCTAGCACTCAGGAGGCTGAGGCAGGAGGATCACCATGAGTTCAAAGCCAGCCGGGACTACATGGTGAGTTCAAGGCCAGCCTGAATTAGAGTGAGATTCTGTCTCAAAAACAAAACAAACAAACAAAACCAATTTAACTGAAGTGGTGTCACTAAATTAAAAAACTGAAAATACATTTTAACAGTAATTTACACTGAAGGAATTATGGCTCTGAGGTATTCTATATAAAGAGATTATAAATAGAAGAATTTGCAAACTAGTATGCTAAAGAAATTCCTAGAAATATAATTTTCATGAAATATATCACCTGTATTTTGCTAACATTTTCCTAAAAATTAGCAACTCTATAGTTATATTTCATATTAAAATACTACTGACTGGGCTGGGAATTTAGCTCAGTGGTTTTGCTGCCTGCTGCAGAAGCACAGGACCTGAGTTCGATCCTTGGTACAAAAAAAAACTATTGACTTTCAGGGGAAATAATTATATTGGCTGATTGCGACATATGCCAGCTGTGAAAACTCAGACAAACTAGTTGACAAATTTCCAAAATAGCTAATTTAAGTTTTTTGTCAAAACAGAGGAATATAAAGAAATAGCCTGAGCCTGTAATTCATGAATTAAAAGTTTTCTCCCAGGCAGGGTAGGTGGTGAAAGTGGAGTAGGCCTAAGAAATACATGATCTTGTAAAAATGCCACTGATTTCCTCATAAAGCTAACCTAATTGTAAGAGATAAACCTAACAATATGCCAAGAAATAACAGAAACCCCAACACGAATACTTCCTTCCAACCTTGAGTTTAATGTAAAACTATCCTGAACCTAACCAACACCTAACAGCAGTGCTAACCCTGCAGTTCATCCTAACCTAATCCTGGCTCCTGGTGGTGGGCTGCCTTTTCCCTCCAGCCTCCCCGTCCGTGCAGGCCCCTCAGCACACATGCAGACCCCTCCTTACCTGCTGCACCGCACACTCCCGCTGCTCAGCACGAGGGACGCCTGGGGAGGGCTTGGCGGGAAGCTGAGCCCTGGGACTGGCCAGGCCAGCAGGTGCTCAGGCCTCAACATCCCCAGGGGAGGAGGCTGAGGTCATGGTAGGAGGCTCCTCACCTGCTGAGGACAGAGACGAAGCGCTCTCTGCTGGACATAAAGCATGGCTGATCGCCGCACTCTGGTCAGCAGGGGGGAAGGGTCCAGAGACCGGGGTGTGCAGCTGGTAAGGTCGTGGGAGGGGGCGGAACCTTGGTACAGGAGAAGGGGTGTGGCCAGGCTCCTCAGCTGTGGGCGTCCAGGGGCTGCATCATGGGAGGGGCGTGGCTGGGCCACAGCAGGGGGTGGGCCTGGGTTCATGAAGAGGAGGGGCATAGCCCGGGAGCACCAGGATTGGGCACAACAGGGTGAGACAACAGAGGGGGCGGAGCCTGGCTACAGGAGGAGGAAGGGCGTGGCCAGGCTCTTCAGCCCTGGGTGTCCGGGGTTGGGGTCATGGGAGGGGCGGGGCCTGGGTTCAGGAAGAGGAGGGGAATAGCCCGCGAGCACCAAGATTGGGCACAATAGGGCGGGTTACGGGAGGGGTCCGAGCCAGGGCACCTCAGCTGTGGTTGTCCTTGAGCTCTAGTGATATGGGCGGGGCCTGGGTTCTGGAGGAGGAGGGGTGCGGCCGGGGTGCGTGCAGATTGGACGCAGCAGGGCAGGTCACGGGAGAAGGAACCTCTCAAGTGTGGGCACCCTGGGGCCAGTAACGGTAGTAGCCAGCTCTGATCCATCCTGGTCTTCTCAGCCCTTTTGTCCTACTGGATAGAGGGTACGCAGGAGTCCAGCTCACCAGGGCAACTGATAGGAGGAGGTTGGTGACAACAGCTGCTGACTCCACAGCATTGCCCGCCAGAGGTCACAGAATCTTGCACGTGATAACCCAAACCAGAACCCTTGCTGTGCGCCCCCAACTACAGTACCCAGAATTCTTGGCCTTACAGCCCACACCCAGAACTATAGTACCCAGAAGACTGCCTGCCCCAATCATAGAACTACACTACCCAGAATCCTTGGTGTGACCCCACAGACTACATTATCCAGAAGATTATGCATGCCCCACCATCAGCCAAAGCCTTAGCACATCCCCTACCCTGGTACCCCATAATCCTCCATGTGATGCTCTCTCCCAGAGATTCTGTATGCCTCAACCGCAGAACTACAGTACCCAGAAACTTTAGCGTGTCACCACCACCCTCACGGTTCACAGTAATCTCCCTAGGACAACACTTCGCCCATGACTGTGGTACCAGAAAGGCACCCAGAAGGACAAAAATACTTGTTGTAAGTGGTTTGCAAAGGAATAGATTTAATACAGGGCACACATAATTTGTAGGATTATTTTATAATATTCACCCAAAAAGTCAAATGCAGAAGAGTGCAAGAAATCTGTCCGTGTGCTGGAGACCCAAAGAATCCAGCCAAGTCTTGGAGCCTGCGAAGTCCAGCCAAAGGCCTAGAGCCCACAGAAATGTCCTCCATGCGTCTACATCAAGGATCTACACTGGGAAGCCCCAAAGGTCAGTGGTGGATTTTAGAAAGTCTGTGCTGGCGGGGTAAAGGATCTGTGCCAGAAGGCTAAGGGATCTACACTGGAGCCAGGAAGCGACAGTCATGGAGAAGACCACAGCACCCCCCACCCCCGCCCAAGAGAACAGCAGCCATCCCCAGTGACAATGAGGAGGATGTGTTCTCCTATCAGGAAAACCAGTTGCGCACAAGCTTCTCTAGAAAAATCAACAGCATGCACCTTCCCCACTTATTCTCCTTTTGTGTCATTGGCAACAATCCTCAGGTGGGTCTTCCATGCCCAGAACCACACTGACTCAGTTCAGCTGGGCATACCACTTAAATTGACCATTAGTCAATTAACCGCTGGCTATAGGGTACCAAAAAAAAAAAAGCCTCTGCATGCACACACCTGTACTGCAGTACCCTTAATATCGCCGTGGCCCCCTTCTCCAGGATACCAGACAATTGCACATCTGGGACTGCAGTACCCAGAAGCCTCCCACTACACACACTGCCCTCAACAACAGGACCAAGAATCCGCTGGGTGCTCTGCAAGGACTAGGTACCCAGAATGATCCCCAAGGACTCTGCTACTCAGAATCCTCAGTGTAACCCTTACAGATATTGCAATACCCGGAAGCCTCAGCATGACTGTCCTGAGAAATATAATACCCAGTACCTTCCATAGCCTACAAGATTTCAGTACACAGAATTTTCAGTGTACCCCCTCAAAGAGCAGGTTCCCTCAAGAACTGATATCCCCAGATTCCTGAGACATACCCTAGGACTACGGTACGCAAAATCCCTGGTGTGCTTTCAGCACCCCTGCCCCAGTGAACTACAGTATCGTGAATCCTCAGCATGCCCCCATGGGAATACAGCACTCCGTACTTTTGGCATGACCCCCCCCTCCAAGACTACATTATCTCGAATCTTTGGTGTGGCCCATTACTACAGTAGAATCATTGCCCAGGGTCTAAGGTGTTCATAATACGCCTAGTCCTCAATGAGATATGCTAGGGAGTCTAAGATCCCTTGGTCCGGTGACATGGTCCTTTTCTAGGCCCTGGTTTCTATATTTTTAGGAGCATTATAGATACATTAAGAACATTTGCCATTTCTATGCTGCAGATGAAAAATTTTGCTGCCAAAATTTCTTTGGATTTCAGTCTTACTATTTTGCTATGCAAAACTTAATTTTCAGCCTGGCATGGTTGTGCATGGCTGTAATCTCAACACTTGGGAGGCTAAGGCAGGAGATTCACCATGAGTTAGAATCCTGCCTGGGCTACATAAGTGAGTTGAAAGTTAGCCTGATCTAAATAGTAAGATCTAGTGTCCAAAATAAAATCAGTTGCATGTATTTTATAATTCTATATTTTAAGTCACATTTAGGGACACATAATGCTTTTTTTCTACAGATTTTATGACTCTATTTTTCACTTCTAGCTGTCCCAGTGCTTGAGTTTTGTATGGTTATCTATAATGGCAGTACAAGTCCAGTTTTATCTTTTTCCAATTTCCCTTTAAAGCAGTCTTAGTGCAATAAAGTATGTAATACACCATATATATGTATGTGTGTATGTATTTATTTTTTTGTGACAAGGTCTCACTATGCAGTTCAAGCTGTCCTTGAACTTATGATGTAGCCCAGGGTGGCCCTGAACTCACAGCAATCCTCCTGCCTCAGTCTGTCAAGTGCCAGGATCATAGGTGTGTGCCACCATGCCAAACTCTAGGATTTTTTTAATATTAGTTTATCTAATGATGCACCAACACCACCATAATCTTTTCATTATGGAGGGTTTATAATATATTTTAGGGGTAGCTGGACCGCATTGACTTTATATTTCAGGGTTTTACTGAAATTTATTTTTCTTTATAAACTGCTATGGTTTCAACATCCATATCACAATTCATACTGTAATTTAATTTCCTTTATGAAATATTAAATACTTGGTAGTGGGGAAGTTTTTAAAAGGTGGTTAGGTCATGAATGAAATAATTCAGCCATAGATTAATAGCTTACTGAGTCATTTGTAGAGTGCAACTCAGAAAATCCAGTTTGGCCCAATGTTTGTATGCACCCCTGCTTCAGGACTCTGCAGCATAGCCCCACCAGGAAGATAGTGGTCTCCTCAACAGATGGGGGCCCTTGATCCTGGACTTCCAGAACCCCAGGCTGAATAAACCTTTATTTATTACAAATTATCCAGTCTGAGGTACACAGTTATAGTAACAGAAAAGAGCTTAACCCATGGAGCATATAAATAGACTTCTTTACCTCCAGAAAATAATTAAGTCTATTGACTTGTTGAAATCAAATTAAAATCATAATTTTTAACATGATAGTTTAATTCCATTATTTAATATGTAAGGACATTTAATATCATCTTGAAGGACCCTAGTTAGCAAGACAGACTCCATATTGCTGCTGAAGGACCCACCTGCCTGCCCTTTAGATGAACTCAGAAGGAGGAAGCTTAGAAACCTCCTCCCCTTAGAGAGTCTCTTAGAAGCAACAATTAATCAACTATTGTTTTACAAATGTTCTAATGACAGGGCCTTCCACTTCTGTACCTTTTGCTTGCTTTGCAAGTTCTATCCCACAGGGGGGCCTACAAACTGCTGGCCTCAAAGGTGTATAAAATATGTTAATCTCCCCCCAGTCGGGATTCCAGTCTGATGCTCGGCTTGGGTCCCAGCTGGTAATAAACTCCTGTCTGGATTTAATATCGGTCTCTGGTTGGTTCTTTCTCACTGGGTGCAACATTCTGATAGTTTGTATATGTTAGGAGCAAAAAATAAAGTATCCTTACAAGAATTTTAAATGCCAGCTCTACATAAATTGTGGAAATGCAGTCACACAATGTCGAATCCCTGGGGGCAATTCTCAAGAATGCGATCACCTGGATGTTCCCAGATACTTGCAATTGTATATACATGACATGAAGTTAGTAAGCGGTGTTTTTTTAAAATTGTGCCTTGACTAGAACATCACCTACAGAAACACTGTAGACATAAATAAATGTTTAATGAATGTTTTATACCTTATTCTACATGACAAAGTTGCTAACTGAAATCACAGTAAGAAAAATTTGTAAGTAAATCAAGTCACGATTTTCCATCCCAATCTCACACTGAATTCTATATTAAAGATTTAGCCAAAATAACTGTGCACAGCGCAAACAGCTGGCCATATCTATAGTAGACAGGAATGGAAACACTGACACTGCTAGAGCTGGATAGCGCTGTGATCCATTAAGCTCTTGGGCAGCTTATGGCCATGCATGAATTTTGTCCTCTCTGCTCCTGGTCCTGCAGCTCTTAGCAGGGCCAATGCTCACACCACCTCCTCTGGGAAGCTCTCCCTCCTCATGCAATGTAATTTGTACCCCATCTCTGTGCTGTCCTCTATCCCAATAACATGGTCTACTTTATTCAAAATACCTATCTAACGTCAAAGTGTCTTTTTGAGTGGAGGGAGATTTTGATCTCTTTTTTTATTTTCCTACAGAAAAATAAGGTCCATAAAGTCAGGGAAGAACATGAAGTTTGAAAGAAAGCCCTCTAGTATGAACATTTTTCCTTACTATGCCTACAACCAGCTGTACTCCCCTCAGTATGTCCAGGCCCCTTCTAGACAGGGAATGCTAAGGGAATCCATGGATGCATCT